AAAGAAAGAGAGAGAGAGAGAGGCAGAGAGAGAGAGAGAGAGAGAGAGAGAGAGAGAAAGAGAGAGGAGAGCGTGTAGATTCGTGAAATATATATAATATCAAACCCATGGTTAAGCTGTTCAGGCGCGTGCAGCAGTAATTAGCAGCGCAGTCAGTGTCCGTCTTACACTCCGGGTTGTTCGTCACCACAGCGCCTGATGCCTACGCAGATGAAACGTAATAATATATGGCACAAACGTCGACCATTTTGTATATATAACACCGTGATCACGTATACACTTATGTTTATGGTAACACCATCTCTCAATGTTAACGCCTAACGCGTTATTGCGACAGTACTATCTGAATATATCTTTATATGTATATATAAGAAGCAAATCTAAACAAACTAAACAACCCTAAATACCAACTTAATCATTTACGAAAGTAAACACTTGAACACCAAAATTAAACGCTTAAACATTCGCCAACTTGAACGCAACAGTCATGCACTTAAACATTAAAGTGTTTAAACACTTAAACACCAGCTGAAAACACCACCGTAATAACACCAAATCGTTTCGCGTCTTAGAATGGGAACTCGCGAACCGCTCCTGTATACATGTAGGTACCTTTATGAGAGCGGCGACTCCGATTGCGATGAGAAAAATAACCAACGTTAATATCCTCATGTTTCCGTAGTAGCAAGGTCTTTATCGTCAACTTTGTGGAAAAGCTATAAGGAAGGATCCAGCAAACAGCAGCAGGGGCGGTTATGTAAAGGACAGCGTGCGGACTTTTCTCAACTCAAGCAGACCTGAGCCGCGGCGAGCAATCTCTACCCACATGATATGCACGCGAAAGATTTCTCTCTCACCCGCAGTTTACATCCGTGTCATACAATGCTCCTGTGAAGAAGGGATGGTCACGTTGGTTACTACTCTGCTCTCCGTAGCCGTGCAAGCAGCGTACGGCGTGCGGGCCGGGAGGTTACACTGCCAAGGCTCTTCATCGCTGCAGCAAGTGAAGAAAGAGTCGAGTGCCCGTCTCGAAATCACCCGCTAATGAAATGGATACGCCCTGAGGTGCAGACCCGACGTCGTCTTACCACGGTGTCACTGACTCACAGCTTACACAGTGCATGTTCAGACTCCGACTATAGACTATATAGTTTGACGTTAGTGAGCAGAAGTAAATCTCAACGGTACTGTGCGAGGAACTCATAAAATGTTATGTAATATTGAATCGAGTGCGCAGTTCCGAGTACGCAAATATAGACATATACATAAGAGATGTAACAACACCTCAAGGAGATAATTGGGCGTAATATATTTTAATAAAGCATATTAATTCATAAGTTTTATATACGTTCTAGAATAGACACATTGAGGCTTTGTGTGTGTGTGTGTGTGTGTGTGTGTGTGTGTGTGTGTGTGTGTGTGTGTGTGTGTGTGTAGTGTGTGTGTGTGTGTGTGTGTGCGCGTGCGTCCGCGCTGCGGGCGTGCGTGCGTGTGTGTGTGCGGTGCGTGCGTGCCGTGCGTGCGTGGTTTTGTGTGTGTGTTTTGTGTTGTGGGTGTGTGTGTGCTTGTGTGTGTGTTGGTGTGTGTTTGCGTGGCGTAGTCTGTGCGTTTGGCGGTGGTGTGATTTGTATGTATGATGCGTCATTGCGTTTTTTGCGTGCGGGGTCGGTGATTTGCGTGTGCGTTTGCGAGTGTATGCGCCGGTCCGCGCGCGCGCGTGTGTGTGTGTGTGTGTGTGTGTGTGTGTGTGTGTGTGTGCGCATTTGCGCCCGCGCGCGCGCGTGTGTGTACATGTGCATGTGTAAAGGCAATGGTGGCGGAGGCTTGTTACAGTATAGTGTGGGTCATGTGTGGGTGAGCGAATCATGTGCGTGCACACTCATGCTCTGTGTTTAAAGTCACTTTGTAATGCTGCACCAAACTCCACGACAGATGGCGCTCTCGCTCTGGCTCGTACTGAGTTGTACGCAAACTGCATGCAGTGCCCCTTCCCACACTCAGGATAATACTCAGGAGGTAGAATTGAGCACACTCAAAAATTTCCCACACTCAGGAGGTAGAATTGAGCCAGAGCGAGAGCGCCATCTGTCGTGGAGTTTGAGTTGTACGAGGGGGCGCTGCATGCAGTTTGATACAGCACGTGTATGGAATCAGCCCTTATCTCTATAATGTAATCTCTACTCTATAATATATTATAGAGATCAGTGGGAATCAGAAATGGAATGAATGTTGCCTGAGCCGAGTCTCACCTGGTGGTTGACTTCTGTTCGCTAATTATAGCGTAAATCCACATTTTGACATCAGGAAAGTTACAACATAAGAAATTCATTGAGGGGTGAAAATTTGGCAACACCGTGCCAACACGGGTGTGTAATAAAAAGAGCGTCACGAATGCCCTACGTACGCTACGGTGCAAAGAAACATATGGACACTTCTACCATTACAGGCGTAAGAGATTGTTATGGACAGTTATTATGTTACACTATTTATGAGCATATGTGTCCTCGATTTTTAAATGTAATATTTTAACCAAATAATATTTCGTTTAGCAGATACTGAGCATTCGAGGACAAACATTTTCTCCAATACTATTAGTATCAGGGGCGTGTACATGATTTGTACCAAGGGGGGGGGTCTAACCATAACTAAAACTTGCGAGCACGCAAAGGGGGGGTCTGGGGCCCTCCCCCAGAAATTTTTTGAAATTAGACCCTCTTAGATGCGTTTTCTGCGCGAGCATGGGGGGGGGACCCCCTAGACCCCCCCGCTGTACACGCCCCTGAGTATCTCTATAATTATGTGTCTTGAGTGTAGCTCACTAATGAACAAATTTGTCCAGGTGGTGTATGCGAATAGATGTTATTTGTCGCGGAGTGAGGCTATGCAGATTTTACCGTTTGGTTGATTTACAAGCTTAGTTATTAATAATCAGAGTTTGGTAGAAGATCCAGTCGCTGGCAGATCGTGGAATAAAAGTTTTTGCAAGTATAGGGATCTTAAGTGAGAGATTTTGGTCGTTTATTCTCCTACTGGTGAGTATGTTTTCTCTATGTTAAAGATATAACTTCGATAAAATCTTCTCTTTTTTTTCAGATGCTGCCGGTTACGTACCATGCATTAACCGAGTTTACTCCTTACCGGGATATGGTATCGTCATCGTCTAAATAAAATTGTACGATCAACAATTTCCTTGTTAGTTATATCCTAAATATAATAGATTTTTATTTATATAGATTGATCCGTATACTATCTGACCGAATAGTAATACTTTAATATGTGTTAACGAAAACAGTTTAGTTATTTAACTATGAAAACGATAAATACAAACACTTCACAACTTTGCCGCCAGGTAGCAGGGCTTGACATCATTGCACAAAGTATTTTTCCATCGTCAGTTAGCTATTTTCGATATATAGTAACGTTTTTTAGTTCAACTTGTTATTCTGAAATGTGAGAAGTTTTATGGGTGATTCTGGTCATTAGTAAAAAAATAATATACCATCATCGTTTGTATGCGGTCTAGTTTTGCGTTGTGTGAAGTTGCAACACGGCAATGTTATTGTTAAGTCATTGTCAGTTGATGAAATTGCAAGGCCATACAGTATTTGCACGTACGAATAATCTATGCAAATTAGCACCGTATAAGTTGTGTGACTATGAGACTGTAGGAGCGCAAAATTGATACATCTTTGAACGTGCACTAAAGCAACTGTAATCGGTTATGATGTTATGACTATAAAAGCCTATTATTAGTATTACTAGTATTACTATTACTATTAGTATTAATTATTTAATTAAAGCCCAAAGGTCATTATGAATATGACTATGAGGTGTTTGCAAGGAAATATTGATTGATCATGTTAATAATAACAATACAAGTTACAAACAATACAACATTTACCAGGCTAAAAGGCTGTTGGTATTCTCCTGCTACTGTAAGCACTTCCACTTTTTGCTTATTTGCTGGTAGGGCGAATTTTACACTATTTTAACTACCGGTACTCTCTTTTTAGTTGCATTGATTGTCCATGCATCACGTACCCGCAGCTCAGTATGGTTTAATGCTTTGATACTGTTGATTTTCGTACTATTCCCTAAATGAGGTGAATGATTCCTCAATGTCAAACTTGACTGTTAGCTCTGCCATTACCCATTGCCATTGAAGTCGAGTGTTAGGTGGTTTTTGGGATAGAATCAACAACATTACCGGGAATCACTAGAACTACCGGGAGATTGGCAAAAAGTGGAACTGGTACTGGGAGAAAGCAAGACCATATATTATATAAGAGCATATACAAAAATTGCGCAGCTGGTTGGGAAACTTACTTCACCAGTCGGTTCTTAACTCTAAACATCTTTTTCCATGCAGTTAACATCTGATCCATTAACTGGTTGTGTCATGACGGACGTGAAAGAAGAAAAAGATGACAAAATCCAGTATGGTGGCTGTGAAGGCCCAAATGCTATGTATGTGAAGCTGGTATCCTCGGATGGGCATGAGTTCATAGTGAAACGGGAGCACGCACTGACATCGGGAACCATCAAGGCAATGCTGAGTGGACCAGGCCAGTTTGCTGAAAATGAAACGAATGAGGTCAACTTTAGGGAAATTCCGTGAGTATTTTAAAATAGTGAAATTATAAATCCTTGAATAAGCTCATTCGGTTGGTTGATAATAGTGATAACTTGGTTGATTTCTACTCAACCGTGAGGTTCAAACGCACCTGCTAACATTTCACGTCCTAACAGGAGGCTTTTCAAAGCTGTCTGACGTTGTCAGATTTCACCACCAGATGGTGTAGTGGTCAACAGCATGGTCCACACATGCCTGAGTCTGTACCACCTCTCGTCTCGGTTGATGTTTGGGGTCTTGCGAATCCAGACGGCTTTCTTAATCCAATGCCAGCCTAAGGTGATGATTGTCTTACCATATGTGAGAGGGGTCACGGACGTAGTACAACGTGACCTCAAAAATGCAGGCGTGGATTCAGCAGTTAGACCGTTGGAGGCCATAAAAAGACAGTTAGTACACATGAAGTACAGCGAAAACAACCCGCTACCGAAATAAACAAATCCACGATCACGGACCATGTAGCGGTAACATCCCAGTTGGCCTACCCCCATTTCGCCAACGTCCCATTTCGCTTACGTCCCATTTCGTCTACTGTCAGAATCGGCAATATTCCCATTTTGCCTACTCCCGTTATGCTACTGTATTTTCTATTTTTGTCAAGTTGTGTTCTCATTATTTTCACCTATGTTTTCTTTTGGTTCCTATAGAGGGTTCCGCGACTTGCACTAAAAATAGCAATATTACCTACAATCCCGTGCCGCCGGCCATACTGGTAGTCAGAATTGCGAACACGTGTTACCGATATGCGCAATCTACCGAATTTACATCGATAGATTGTACATACGATAGTGTTATTATAGTAATCTATATTAGCAGTAAGTGATCCCGGTTTTGCAGACAGGTTTACCAGCGCGTGTGGGGATGCTAGAGTTTGATATGATTGTGCAGACCCGGTTTTACAGGGTGTTGCAGGCAGGGTTATCAGTGTGGGTTGGGGTGCTAGTCTGCTGGAGTTGAGATTACACAGGTCCGGTTTTGCAGGGCTTTGCATGCAGGTTTATTAGCGTGGGTTAGGATGCTTGAGTTCGATGAGGTTGCCGCACAGTCGGCGGATTGCTAGATTGAGCAGGTCGAAAGATTGCACGCAACACATATCATGGACTTGAGTTTGTATACATCGCGAGTGTTCAGAAATTTCACAGATTTTACTGCATATAGCTATCAGCTATCAAACGCAGCTTTTTAGCTCATCTGACATAGTCAGATGCAGCTTGTAGAATCGCTTGATCGTCCGTCCGTGCGTCCGTGCGTCCGTCCGTCAACAGTTGGGCACAAATCTTAACGCGCTCGACGTACGGTCACTGATATCTGGGATGTGGGGGGGCAATCCGAAAAACGAGTTGGGATGTCGAAGCTGGGGGTCAAAGGTCAAAGGTCAAGAGTGTAAAAGAAGGGGGAACATGTCACTGCCTTAACTTAAGTAGAGGGAGGAAATGCAGAATTGTCGGCACAAATCTAAACGGCTCGACCTAGGCTCGTGATAGTCGGTGTATAGTTGCATCAATGGTAGGAAAAGCCATCCACTGTGCCGAAATTGGAGGTCACAGTTGCAAAGGTCAGTGGGCACAGGCAAGATTTTAAGACATTGTTCTGAGGAGCAATGTCTAGACGGAGAGCGATTGAAAAACTTTTTTGTTTCAGTCTGGTGACCGTAGCATTTTTATGGCTTTATTGGAAAGGACCAATTGAACATGTCCCTCTGCTGACCATGCGAAGAGTAAGTGTCGATAACCTTTGACCCTCAAGGGAGGTTAAACTTTGATTTGTTGACTGTCTGTTAGAAGAATTTGACTGCCGGGTTTGCTAGTAGAGATCTAATACATGCCTGGATGTATGAGGCTACAATGTCACAGTGAAATTCAAAAGCTAAATTTTGGTTAAAGAAGGTGTATGTTCCTTAATCGTATAATTTTATGTGCATGTCTGTACTGTCAGTACTGAGTTACATGTAACGTATGGCACTGTGGCTGCAGTTTTTGCCTGCGTTAATTGGTTGGCAGTGGCACTCTCTCTATTGCAGATTTGCAGCCTGTAGGCTTGCGTAGGTACAGTGGATGAGTGCTTACCTATTCTGTCTTGGCAAATAGTTGTTGCTGCTGACCGAATGATGGAGCTTCCATCTTTAATCTGAAGACACTTAAACGTACGCCCATCTCGTGCAACTTTCATAACGATCCCAACGAACATTCTTTGAGAAGGTTCCTGATACCATCCCTGTGCATTCCACTGTTACGGCGTGTATGTGAAACACATTTGGGACTAACAGGGTTTACTAGAATCCCTCCACTCCACCACAGAGTCACCGGCAGTAGACGTTAGATGAGCGGCGTCTATGGCGAGCACTTGTATAGATACAGGCTGTATGCATATTTGCCAACTGTCTGAAGTGTACGTAGTATGGACAAGTACTTTGGTTCACTAGACAACGTAGCCAAAGCACGCTATCTCGAGAAAATTGGGTGCATTGGGAATCGACACCCATACGAGAATGGAGCGAGGACTACAACTTGTGCCCATCACGTACTTATTAGGATCTCGTGAATTGACTACCGAACATTCTAGTTGAGTCCATTTTATACTCTCAGGGACTTTCAGAACCACGAAAGCCTGGATGCCTACGATCGACTGTTCTGTGGTTGGGTTAGTGGTGTATCGGTCTACATGTATCATGTGAACAGTGAGAGTCCCATCTACGTTATCCGAGCACCTGTTATGCACTCCCAGTCTCTGATTATAGTTATACCATGATTTATCATCTCTCTATCCATGCATGGGTCACGATGAGAGAATATAGGACATGCATCATGTCAGCACACTGTAATTGTAAAGCTGCAGGCTTGGTGAATTCTATTCACATGTAGCCTCAGTGCTATTTTATGTAGAGTATGCTGCACGTGCAAGAGAAATTACCACCCCCACTCAAACAGCTGCCTACTGGATGCCGGCGATATATGTATATAAGTGTAAATGTGTAGCGGCGTGCACCGTGCGTGCGGTGTACCTGTGTGTTGCAGGGGAGCATTTGACCGGCATTTAAAGGTAATTATCGGCAATTCTATACGAAAGAGAGAAGAGAAACATTAAGACATTGGTAGTAATTACATTTCGTGTTTATTCAGCATTGCTTTTTTATCGAAAATGCTCCAAGCATCTGTGGTCCGCCTTGTCTCTCGTCATTTTACCTTGTGTTGTGATCACGCTAGGCAGCCTAAAAAAGATGTGTGGCTCTCCGATACCGATTGCTGCAGTTGACAACGCCGCAGGAGAGCGGCGTTGTGATGGATTTGCTTAATAGGCGAATAAAATGAGCAGAGAACAGTTCGTTGCTCAATGTACTTGTACCGTGCCTGAGCTGGTTTCTGGAACCGTCATTGCCGGCGGCGTTGCATTGTGGGTAATTTGAAAATTCGCGGAACCCTCTATAGTCTATGTATGCCAATCAAAACCATATTTTATTATTTATAAATGATTATTTAGTGAACAAACCGATCGTAGACGAAATGGGAATAGGGTAGATTTTGAGCATAGACGAATTGGGATTTGGGAGTAGGGGAATTTTGCCGTAGGCGAAATGGGAGTAGGCCAACCGGGAATAAACCCATGTAGCGACCGCCAATCACACCATCGATTGGGATAATTCGAAAATATCGATCGTGAGCCAATAAGAATCAGGCGTTGGATTAAGGAAGCCGTCTGGATTCGCAAGACCCCAAACATCAACCGAGACGAGAGGTGGTACAGACTCAGTCATGTGTGGACCCAAACAGCATGCAGCGCCCCCTTCCCACACTCAGGATATACCACTGCCACAATGCTAGCACTATTTTTACAGTGGGCGGAGCTCCGGGGAAATCCAGCAAATGGCAAGCCAACGGCCGCGAAGTCGCCGTCGAACAAAACATTAGAAATTTCTATGATTTGCATGTTTGTTGGTGGACAAATTTAGATGTTTTAAGCTGAATACGCAAAAATGTATCAAAGACAATGTTCGAGAATTAGGTATATTGGCAAGCATCCCGAAAATTCATGATAAATACGTGAACTTCGTTTAGTAAACAGCGTAATGATTTGAAAGTAGTAAATGGGCGCATTATTTCGTATCACTATTTTATCAAATTTCTCATGAAATAATGGTCCGACTTTTATTATCTTTGCAGCTTTTATAAGTAAACACCGTATTACATAGGACAGGAGTAACGGGGTCGCTGTAAAACTTATAGTAAAAAAGCGTAAGAAATTCTTACTGAAATCAGCTTGTGGCAGTGGTAGAATTGAGCCAGAGCGAGAGCGCCATCTGTCGTGGAGTTTGGTGTGGACCATGCTGTTGACCACTACACCATCTGGTGGTGAAATCTGACAACGTCAGACAGCTTTGAAAAGCCTCCTGTTAAGACGCGAAACGTTAGCAGGTGTGTTTAAACCTCACGGTTGAGTAGAAATCAATCAAGTTATCTCAGTGAAATTGTAAGTCTGGAGTTAAATCACTGAACATAGCAAGTAAACGTGTTCTTATGTCTAGTGCATCCACTTGAAGTTAACGAGACATTGTCAGCAATGTAGTCATAGTAACAAACCGTTGAACTAAAATTGTCATTTCAGTATTTCTATCGTCAATCAATAATACGTAAATCTGGTACATACATGTAGGTTCAATACAGACTCAGGATCCTCACAAGAAAATGTAGCATCCCTTCTTGATGTATCCAAGTACAGTGGACCCCCGAGATACGAATTTAATTTGTTCCACAGATTTGTTCGTATCTCGAAAAATTCGTATGTCAACCCCTATATAGGACATACAGCAATTTACGTACAGCAAATACAATCATGAGAGCGCATCCAGATTCAATGAGCCACATACTTAAACTGACTCACCGAAAGAGCGCGCGCTAGGCCTATGCCTTGATTGGCTGATTCGTAAGACGTTCGTATGTTGAATTTTATTCGTTTGTAGAATACATTACGTTCAACGGGAGGTCGTTCGTATCTTGAAAATTCGTGTCTCGAGCCGTTTGTATCTCGGGTGTCCACTGTAGTCTCAAGAGTCATTCCTCATTAATTCATGGTATGGAAGCTGGAGACCAGTGAATTCACCATATGCATTCTCGGCTTGTGTGTGTTTCTCATCGACCTTGCCGTGTGTTTTTGTGGCGATCTAGGTCTCACGTCCTACAGAAGGTGTGCCAGTATTTCACGTACAAGGTGCGGTACACTAACAGTTCCACGGAGATACCGGAGTTTCCGATAGCACCCGAGATCGTCCTGGAGCTGCTGATGGCTGCAAACTTCCTCGACTGTTGAGAGAGAGAGAGAGCGTGTAATCTCATTAGCCGACTACGACGCAAAACACGACACCAGCTAATGACATCAGCACCCTTAAATAATTATATTGTTCATAATTTGTAAATGTGAGAATTTGGATGGCATTGAGCAGAACATAATCGTTACTGACCGTGTTGCCTGTCTAGTTCCTGTTACTAGAAATGAATAGGGAAACTTCAGAGAATGAAAGAATGAGAACGGGGTGAATGAGAGCCAGACACAGAGAGAAAGAGAAGGATAGAGATAGACAGCCACATATAGAAACACAAAGGTATACAGCGAGTAACTGTGGCCATAAGCTCTTTTCCAGTCATGGTTTTTTGAGAGCAATTAGTACCAGTTTATATTTAAAATGATAAAGTGGGTTCATCCACCATGTGGGAACTTACTGCAGAAAATTAAGTGTACCTTTTGTCCATCGTACATATATACTAGCGTGGAATGAAACTGTATCTGCACACTTTGTTTGTGATGTGCTATCACCTATCACCTGCCTTCATGCCATCTAAGTAGCATGCTCTAATATGTCTCTGTAACAACATCTACTGTAATTTGGGTTTTGGAGGATTAATAATGTGATACACTCAGTGTGTTCTTGTATGCAGGTCACAGAGCCTTCGCATCTCGGTATCTAATAGTCTATCCTCTTACCATAAGACAGTCATTATGTTGTATTCCAAATTGACAGGCTATTGAACTAAGTCCTGTTTAGAGATGTATAATAAGCGCAGTGCAGCAAACTGTTAAAGGGGAATATGCCATCATATTGCAACAATGTTTACCGTCCTCTGGCTATCACATTGATGCAGTACTGCAGCAGTAATAGTAGTAGTATTACTGTACAATAATTCCCCCAGTTCGATATCTATTTGCTACACCACGTGTGCATTTTATATAGTAATACGTAATACGTAGCTTGATTCAGTACACGTAGAAGTTTTTACTCGGGTCCGATATACAGTTATGTGTAGCTGCCAGTGTACACTACAGTGAAAGAGAGAATGTGATGCACAAGAAAGGCGTACATCGCATTCTCTTTGTAAAATGCAATATACATTTCATTTTTGCATAAGATTTTGTTGCTTGAGCGAAGTTAAATGTTTGCAACTTGCGTTACCTTGACTGTCATTTTATACATGAAGGAGAAATGTGATTCGGCTGTGTGCATTCAGATGACTGCTCAGGTAACGATTTGTTGCTTTCGTGTTACTAAATAAATGTGATATATAAACACAGCATACCCAGACATTTCGTTTACTGCTCTCATTGGGAAATTATACAATTATATTAAAATCAGTGTTATTTTTATGTAAATCCAAGGATATTAACCAGTTGGGGACAGTTTTGTCAACCTAGTTAGTTGCCAGTTACATGCAGAATGATAGTGATTGATTGAATTGTTTTCTTTGCAAAGAGGCTATACCAGTTGTGAGGGCTGTCATTAACAATAACAGGTCACTGCCCCTGTACTCGAACGCATGCGCGCGTTCACCAACAAAGAGAGAGAGGAGGGGCGAGGGACAGAGCCTGAGGAGCCTGAGACACTACTTCGTTAGTGCACGCGTGCATGCGTTCGAATACGTGTCACCTGTGAATGACAGCTCTGACAACTGGTCTAGCTTCTTAGTAATGAAGTGAGAACAAGAAGAGAGCGCTAGGGAAAGAGAGCGCTGGAGAGACAGAGAGAGAAAGATCGAGAGAGGGGGAGAGACGAGACGAGACAACCACAACCTTGTACTGGTACGTACGTGCGTTTACTTGCTGCAATAGGTAGAATTACATTACACCTACAGACTTGTGGGCGGTAGGGAGGACTCCTCTTGACAGTGATTGTTAGCTTTTCCATGTCAGTTATTTCCCCTATATCCGAAGTCCGAACGTGTCCTAAACTATTCGTTATTAGCATTTTCTTCATTGAAATGTATTACGCATACAGACTGCGTCTGTTGTAGAGATAGTAGGTCAAATTAAGAGATCTGAACAAAAAAGTAGAGAGATTATCTACGAGTTAGTATATTAGTTGGAGCAGTTAGCTGTCATAGAGGACCTGTGTCACGCAACACTTACGCCGCGTTCACACGGAGCAATTTGTCCCGGGTCGAAAACGATCCGAGACTGACCCGGATCAAAAACGACGCGGGTCGATTTTGAGGAGAGCGTTCACACGACGTTGGATCGATCAGTCCGTTGTTGTCCAATTTCTTGAAATAACTGCACGTTGTTCGTGCCCTTCCCGATCTGTTGCTGTTATCTACCACCTTCTTATAAGTATTTCTTAACCGTTTGAGCCGATTATTAACTTGTTGTACAGTTTTAACTATCGCCCGCTCAGCCAGTTTTTCAACAATTTTCTGGTAGGCTAGACGATTTCTCGAGGTTCCTGTTAAAATCCGATTTCCAAATCTCGAGAAGAGCGACGTTGTCCTCGTGAGACCACAGTCGATCAACCCCTTCTGTGGCTTTTTTGGGCATTTTGACGGATATTTTAATGAAAATACTGAAAAACGCGCGTGTAGAAACAAATGCGGAAGTAACGCGCAAGTCGACACTGATGACATCTAGCTACCACCGTACTAATTCTGTCCCGTGTCGTGTGTCCGTGCAAGTTCACACGGAAAACATTTGTAACACTTTTGTATCGAGAAAACGTCCATGTGAACGCTTGGCCCGGGACAATTTTAGCCCGGATCGTTTTAGACCCGGGACAAATTGCTACGTGTGAACGCGGCTATATTCGTGTTTGTTAAGCAGTCGCGTAATTTTTATGCAGAAATTGGAAAATTGTAGCACTCTGCCGGTATACAGCCAGTCTGACAATCTGGGCATGATATAACATAATCAGGAGTGAATAATAATAGATCTATATATAATCTATAATATTCACTCCTGATATAATATATAGTATAATATAGTAATGGCGATGTTGCCATGTCAGCCTGACATGTATTCCGCTGTCACGCACAGTACACCTGATATTTTGCCATTTGATAATGTAAAACATAATGCTATATTATTAGATTTCCATCTCTGACTCGTACTTTTTCGCAACTTTAAGTTAGAGCGTATAGCCTGCATTTTTTATACATGATGCAGGGCCGTAGGTTGAGCAAATTCCTAGGGGGAGGG